TATATATATATATTTATATATAAATATATATATATATATATATATATATAAATATATATATATATATATATATATATATATATATATATATATATATATATATATATATATATATATATATATATATATATTTATATATAAATATATATATATAATATATATATATATATATATAAATGTATATATATATATATATATATATATATATATATATATATATATATATATATATATATATATATATAAATATATATATATATATATATATACATATATATATATATATATATATATATATATATTTATATATATATATATATATATATATATATATATATATTTATATATATATATTTATATATATATATATATATATATATATATATATATATATATATATATATATATATATATTTATATATATATATATATATATATATATATATATATATATATATATATATATATATATATATATATATATATATATATATATATATATATATATATATATATATATATATATATATATATATATATATACAGTCATGTGCATGAAAATAGCAGTGGGAGAAAATTGTTTATAAAATACATTTAATTTTTTTACTGATGGTTAATTTTGTATATTTTATTCTCTAAATATTTTCTGTTAGGGTTTTTAAATATAAAGAGGTTGGCAATATTGCTGTTTATACATACATGTATCAGAATTTAAATTAAATTATAAAATTTTGCTTTATTAACTGTGCGTTATAATAGCAGTGAATATACACTTTATTTTCTATTAGTGCCTTAAAAGTTGTTTTTACCATCAATTTTTTTTTTATACATTAAGGTAAGTGTTTGTTCATTAAAATTAAACGATATTTTATTAAGTTTCACAATTTTATTACAGTTAAAATGGGTAGAGCAAAACATTGTTCCAATGAGAAGCGTCAAATAATTTTAAATATGTTAAAAGATGGTAAAACTTACAAATTCATCCAAGATGCTTTACAATGTTCTGCAAAAATGATTTCCAATGCCAAAAAATGGACACAAAAAGCGGAATTGCGTGGGGGAAAATTTAAAACGTCATTGAAAACGAACCGTAAAATTATTAGATGTGCGAAGATAAATCCTTTTATGAGTTCCACAGCCATAAAAACGGAATTAAATTTACCAATTTCGTCCTCGACAGTGAGAAGACGTTTGATAAAAGCCAATTTAAAAGCCAGAAGGCCCAGAAAAACTCCACTTCTAAATAAGAGACAGATTAAAAATCGAATTGCATTTGCTAAAGAGCATCAAGAATGGCCATCATCGAAATGGCGTAATATTCTTTGGAGTGATGAGACTAAAATTGTTTTATTTAATCCAGGTATTCACGAAAAGTTTGTACGAAGACCCCCACGAACAGAATATAATATAAAGTATACCACCAAGACAATAAAACATGGTGGCTGCCAGGTGATGGCATTGGGTTGTTTTTCTTGGTTTGGATTGGGCCCTATTTTTTGGATCAAAGATATCATGGATGCAACTGCTTATGTTAAAATACTGCAAGAAGTCATGTTACCATATGCAAAAGAAGAAATGCCTTTGAAGTGGACCTTTATGCAGGATAATGATCCTAAACACACCTCTCGTAAAGCTAAAAATTGGTTTGTAGAGAATAAGGTTGAGGTAATGAACTGACCAGCACAATCCCCAGATCTGAACCCGATAGAAAACCTGTGGGGGGATGTTAAAAGAGCAGTATCTTTGACTAGACCAGCCAATAAAGAGGAACTCTGGAGAGCAGTTGAAGCAGCTTGGAGAGCTATTCCCTTAGAAAGATGTCGTCATCTAATCGAGTCAATGCCACGAAGATGTAAAGCAGTATTGAAAAATAAGGGTCATGGAATTAAGTATTAGATGTATTTTCAAAAGATGAATAAATAGTTTTTCATCAATGTCATATTTTATTTACTTTTTTAATGGTAAATCTGCATTCATTAAATGTGATAAAAGTACTTTTTAAAAAAAAATGGTAGTATGAAATTGTCCATTTAAGTTTAAAAGCTTTTTTTAGACTAAATAGTGTCAGATAACACTTAATTATGAAAAATTAACAATTACGGTCCGAAATTATGCATATCATTAAATTTAATAAGGTTTATATATATATATATATATATATATATATATATATATATATATATATATATATTATATCATACATATATATTTTATATATATATATATATATATATATATATATATATATATATATATATATATATATATATATATATATATATAATATATATATGTATATATATATATATATATATATATATATATATATATATATATATATATATATATATATATATATATATATATATATATATATATATATATATATACATACATAAATTATGATAAAACTTAAAAAATATACCCGAACAAGATTTTAATTCCTTTTTAATTCCGGCAGCAGCAAGTAAATAAATGTCTTCAGTAATAGTAGAAGTCAAGCTTCTTTTATAACCACTTCCTTTAACAAGGGATTGATGACCAATATATCTTGCTGTGATGCATATATAGCAATAGCATTGCTTGTCTCCTCTAGTTCTAGTTTCTTTTATCAATAATATGTCTTCATAGTTTGGCATTATAAGTAATTTTTTATATTTAATATCTTTGTCTTGCTCATTTAGTGTTATTCTTCAGGTACCACATATACTGGGAGGATATTTGATTTTGATTGATACATAGTTTTATTTTCACATAGTGCACACATTTTTAATCTAAATTCACCATGATTTTGTTTGGCATATTTTTCAAGATATAACACTCTAAACTTGCGTATTAAAATCCTAGTTCATAATTTGCCTAAAAATAAAGATGTTAAAGATAAAGAATTTATTTCAAATCCATTAGTAATATCATAGTTATTACTTCACACATTTGAGAAGTAATAACTATGATATTATTAGATGATTCTGCCATTTCTGATTACAATTACTTCACGCAAATTCATAATTTTATCAATTTAGTTAAATAGAGTACTTAATTGTTTTGTAATACAAAATTATTTTAATTAAAAACAGAAATATACACAAATGTTCTAGTAACCTATCCAGTATTTAAACCGGACATTAACGTTTGAAAGTCATTTTAAAATCTTGGACGAGCAGCTAGGATTTTAATTTTAACATAGTTGTGATTTACAAATAAAGTAAAAGATTTGTGATTTACAAATAAAAGATGTGGAAACATTTTTCTTTGACATTCTTATCAATCTTGAATTTGTTGAGGGCTATTGTGTGCAATAGCTCATTTGAAATACTTGATTTTATTAAATAATGCAATAAAAAAATTTAAACATTAAAAACTACTTTATGCTATGTAATACACAAAAATATTATCAAATTAAAAAAAAAATTAGAGAATTTTTTTTTAAATAAAAAAGTTTTTTATTCAACAGATTAGAAGCATTACGTTTTAATAATTAATAATGTTTAACCTATAAAATGGTATATGATAATGTAGTTTTTGAGAAAGTATTTTTTTTACTTTTATCCACCACCTGGCCAATTGTGGAATGTAAGGAAAATTTAGTCCTTTTCATAAAAAGAATATAGAGACTAAGTACTAAGTAGTAGTTTTATTTGAGATAAGTTTGACAAAAGTCTGTAAATGCTTGTTAGATTAGTGAAGGTAGAAAAATCAGCAGTATTTATCAATTTTAGTGTTTTTTTTGATTAAAAAATACATACTGTGATATGCATGATCTCATCCTTGATTGATGAAAGGAAATTTAAAGGGAAGTAGGAATACAAATTTTTGTGTAGCTAAAGCATTATCTTGTACAATGTTATCTAGTTAAAGCATGCAACAGCAAATTTATTGAATTGTATTTAAGGAAGATTTCACAATCGAAGACAAATGATAACTTTTTACAACGGTTTATGTGCCCAACAGATTTTGTGATCCGCTGATTAATTATGTTACAAAAAATTAGAAATTGAAAATTAAAAAAAAAAAACTTTTTTAAAAGAGCTGCATTACGCCATCTGAAAAGTTTTTTTTTAGGATGCTTCTGTAACTAAAATTACAAAGCTACTACTTTTCAACTTAAACTTTACGATTATCCTAAAAAGAAACCTAAAAATGAAGTTTATCAAATGCAGGGCCGACGACACGGGTTTCGAAATGAGAGGGGGGGCACGATAGTCAGTTTTAAAAAAAAGTCTTCTGTATCTAGAATTTTCTAAAAAAAAAAAAAAAGTCCTTCAGAAAAAAAGTGTGTGTGTGGAGGGGGGGGAGGGGTACGTGCCATTCCGCCTTCTCACCCCCTCCCTGGTCTCGTCGGCTCTGAAATGGGTTGTTTTAAGAATTGCTCAATACTATATGAAGTATTAAAAAAAAACCTTTTATAAATTTCATAACAATTTCTGCATAACTTTGAGCATTGTGGTTTGATTGTTGTTCATGTAGTTTGTGTTGTTTGTGTAGTTGTAGTTGTTTAGACTTAAATTTTACATAATTATTTTATGTAAATATGCAGGCCTAGTTCGTTGAAATTCAGTAAATAACTTATGTTTAATAATTAGAATAAAATCTGCTAACTAGGGTTATTAGGAAACAATTTTACTAGTTAATCTCAACTTCATGGTTTAGGTTTGCACTGCACAATTGTTTTAAATATTTTAATTGTGCATATATTAAAGTAGTAAGTAAACATTTGACATATGTTTAAAACATTGGATTGCTAATATTTAAGCATACTGTTTTTTTAAACTATAATATTTTCATTTAGTTTTTTTTAAAACAGGGCAGCCATTATGATTTTGCACTTGAAAAACTAAGGGGTAATCAAAGATTGCTGCAGCGATTTTAACTCACAGTTTTAAAATAAAATAGAAATAAAGCCTTAACTTCAAAATTACTTTTAAATTTATGGTTTCCTGAAATTGAAAATAAACTCAAAGCTTTTTTGCATTCCAATGTACATTTCTTTAGCATTCCATAATGTACGCATGAATAATTAAGTTTGTTTTGGAAAATTTTATTGCGGATTTTTGACGATTTTATAAAAAGTGAAGCTTCATATTAATTAGAAACCAAAGATTTCGTTACAATTTGAATAAGGTAATAACAAGCAATCTTTAAATATGTAATAAAAATTATTAATTTGCTAAAGTTGAATTTATTTTATATGCTTTACTAATCTATTTTTTTTTTTTTAAACTTGAATATTTTGATTCAAGTAACTTTATTTTGAAATTTTATTTTTTTAAATCAGTAACTGAAATTCTTATTGAAATAGAAGTTTTTAACAAAAGAGTAAAAATAGAAAAAATCCAATTTTTTATCTTTATAAATTTTATTTTTCCTCTTTATATGAAGAGAAATAAAATCTTGGTTAAAACATTTAAATTGTACTTTATACTTTAAAAACTTAATAATTAGTTGTTATGTTAAAATAATTAAAATAAGAAAACCAACTCAAAAAAATTTCAAATTTTTAAAAAAATAACTTATTATATTATAGTATATTATATTATCATACTTATATATATATAATTATAGCTTGTTATATAATACTATAGGGAGGGGCTCCGAGAGGGTGTTAAAAAGGACAATATTCCGGACGGCAGATGTCCAAAGGGTCTCAAATAAAAATAACGTACCTTAAAAAAAATTCATTCATTGATAATAAAGGAAAAATTGGAGCACCAATCAGGGTTGCTGTCCCAGCGTGAAAGCTCTCAGTGTTCCTGATTATAGCAAGTACACTTGGGCATAGAGAAACTAATGAAAGACTTTTAAAATGCCGATAACGCAAGTTACAGAAAAGTATCAATTACAAAAATATACTTGAAGTCTTAAATTTTTATAAACTTAATATACAAACCTTATTTTTTTTGTTTAAAATAAAGCGTAGGGTATCTAAAATTCTTTATATTTTTATATTTATATCATATTTTAATAAAATTACTCCTAATTAAAGTTTTCTATGAATAACTTTATTACGTCAGCATTTTTTGGCCTTTGAGACAGCCAACTTCCAGACATGGAGCAAACTCCAAACATTTTATGTTTATACTTATGTCAAATAAAGATATATATATTATATATATATATATATATATATATATATATATATATATATATATATATATATATATACATATATATATGATAATATATATATATATATATATATATATATATATATATATATATATATATATATATATATATATATATATATATATATATATATATATATATATATATATATATATATATATTAGAAATGTGCCGGAACCAGTTTATGCCGAGTCTCCGATTCCGGGTACCCGACTGAAAAAACCGGGTCCGAGTCCGGGTACTCGGCACCGAGTCCATTTTTTAAAAGTTAGAATAAAAATTTGTGAAATCTGTAGGGCTGAACTATTCACACAAAATACGCTTTTTACGCTAACTAACCAAAAGTTATGTGGCCGACGTACCATTTAGCAAAATTTAGCGTTATTCCTCTGCATAAAGTTAAAATTTCATTGATGAGTCATGAATACATAGCTGCAAAGTATGGATAAAGCATGGAATTGATGACATTTCACTGTTTATATATATATATATATATATATATATATATATATATATATATATATATATATATATATATATATATATATATATATATATATATATATATATATATATATATATCCCCAGCGGAAGGCGGGTACAATGGGTGATTTTCAACCAGGCGCTAATGCTATAAAGGTGCCAAATTGTCATTAGTTACTAATTTTTTTTCTTGAGAACATAAAAATATATAATTTTATAGATTAACTTTATAAAATTTGATACTAATTTTATGCAATAACAAGTATGTATTCATTTATAAAAAAAACTACAAAAACTCGAAAAAACTTTTTTTGAATTTGTCTCAAATTTATTTAGTGTAAATTAGAGTCCAATTTTAAAGAATATTTTAGTTAATTAAGAACAAATTATGTACAGGGCCGCCGAGAGGGAGGAGTAAAAGGGGCATACGTACCTCGGTCGCCAAAGTAATTGGGGCTTGAAGACGAAAAAAAAAAAGTTAAAAAGAGATTTTAACTTTAAAAAAGTAAAAAATTAGTTTTTATTGATAAGACATAATATAAATTTTTTTAAATTTATATTATGTCTTATCAATAAAAAAAATTAATTAACTAATTAAAAATGATCCTTTTATAACCTAAACTAATCAAATGTTATCGAGATCGTCGGCAAAATGCAACATTGCAACATGGTCTTTTTTAAAGACCATGTTGCAAACCGTTGAAATAAATTAGCGTATGATGTAATTGATGTACATACAGTAAACTCTTTTAAAAGTATTTTTATGATGCTATTTCGGCTGTAGCTATGTTAACCGTCAGCATATGAAAGCCTGGTGTTGCTTTCTTCATCAATATTAAACTTTTTATGTATAAGTTTCATCGGTTATTGTAATAAATAAATAGATAAAAATCTAAGATTTTTAAATTTTTATCTGCAGTCCCTCTAGATGGAAGATCTATATTTTCATGCTTTTGGAGACTAGACGTTCATCTATAAAAATAATTGCAAAACAACCGTGGAAAACTAATCCTGCTCTAAAGCTTTTGCTTTTTTACCTTCAACCAAAACATCGACCCATGATGAGCAGATAACTTGTCATGGCGATAAACATTTTTTGAAAAGCGAATGATGATGCTAAAATAGCAGTTAACCTAGACATGCATTTTTTTTACATAATTTTTCCAAACACAAGCTTGAGGTGAATATCTTTAGTTTTGAGCTTTATTCCAGATTCAATTTAAAATTGGGGTTGTAAAAACTGTTTCGTTAAGATTCTCATTCCTCTAGTTAAAACATGTAAAAATTAAAACTTGAATTAAAAGACAACTTTGTGGAAATTATTTCGCAATATAATAGTTTAATGTAGTCTTAATTTTTCCTTTCTGAAAATACTTAGGCTTTCTCTACCAAATAAACTCAAATGATCTAAAGCCTATATTCCAATTTATATGCATTTTAATTCAAATTTTTTAACACAATATCAGTACCAATCGCAGAAGATGAACTACCTCTAGGTAAATTAAAATTGATTTAAAAAATGATTGCAGAGCCACCATAAAACAAAAAATTTTTAGAAAAAAAGCAATAACATAAGTTTCCGATATTAATTTCTATCTATTTATTATCTAATTTCCGATATTAATTTATATATATATGTATATATATATATATATATATATATATATATATATATATATATATATATATATATATATATATATATATATATATATATATATATATATATATATATATATATATATATATATATATATATATATATATATATATATATATATATATATATATATATATATATGTATATATATATATATATATATATATATATATATATATCAGGGCCCTGAGAATCTTATCATTTTATCTTCTTCAGGTTCTCCGATTTCGCAACAACTATAAATAATGAAATGCACTTGTATTTAATATTTTTAAATATTTTATCGGAAATTACCTTAATTTGTAAATCGTTGCTTGACAAAAATAAATTAAAAAAAAAATTGCGACGATTGGAACAAAAAAGCACCAAAATTTTGTCTCCCCCTGCCCAACAAGAATAACACTCTGCAATCGACAAAATTTTCATAAACATCAATCAGGCATCATTAGTAGTGACATAACCGACAATTTGTCAGTTTTTGCAATTTTCAAAAAACGAAAGAATTTACTAAAAAAGGACTGATACTTCAAAAAAAGAATTTTTACAACCCAAGCAAAAAATATATTTAAACTAAACTGTAAATTGGAACTTTGTTTTTTTCGAGAAATGTGCTAATAACAGCTACAACCTTTTCCTAGATAAATTTTTCAAATTGTACGATAAGCATTTTCCCAATAAAACAAGCCTAATTAAAACTAAAAGACATTTTAATCTTTGGTTCACTAAAAACCTTTTAAAGTCTTCGAAGCGAAAGCAAAAGCTATATATACGCTTTATTAAATCAAAGAAAGATCGTGACAAGCATAATTACTTAGAGTACAAACGTCTATATGAAAGAACTAAAAAAATAGCCAGAACTATATACTTCAAAAACAAGTTGTTAGAATTAAATGGTTACTGGAAAAAAACTTGGGATGCAACAAAAGAGATTCTTGGAAAACAAAAAATACGCAACAAAGTCTTACCAAGCGTAAATACCGTAGACAGCACACAGATCTCTGATTTAAAAATGGTGGCAACAAAATTTGATGAGTTTTTCGTGAATATTACAAACTTAGCCAGAAAAATTAAACACACTCCTGCACATTTCTTGAGCTATCTATTGAAGTCGGATAAAAGCTTAGCATTTAAAAAACTCACTAGTAAAGAACTTGATAATTCAATATAAAAATTAAATATAAATAAAGCAACAGGCTATGAATCTATTTCAGCAAGCATGTTCAAAGACTGCTATGAACTTATTAAAGATGTTTTATTAGATATTTTAAACATATCGCTTAAAACAGGTATCTTTCCAGATAAACTGAAAGTTGCAATTATTACACCTATTTTTAATTTAGGAGATAAAAGTCTGGTTACAAATTATCGACCTATATTGGTGTTATCTTTTTTTTCAAAAATCTTTGAACGTATCATGTATAATAGGGTATTTGCATTTTTGAATAATAACAATCTTCTTTATTATAACCAACGTGGTTTTCAATCAAATTACTCTACGGAAATGCACTTATACAACTTGTTGAAATTATCAGTGGAACATCTTCTCATAACAAATTCATTTTAGGTATATTGCTAGACTTGTCTAAAGCATTTGACACCGTTAACTATCAGATTTCATTGAAAAACTAAAATATTATGAAATAAACTGCAAATACCATAAATGGTTTACCGGTTACTTAACTGATCGAAAGCAGTTTATTTCTCTAAATGACGGTTTTCAGATAAACAAATTTAAAATATCATGTGGGGTTTTTGCAATTAGGTCTGATGCTTTTTTTAATCTATGTCAACGATCTATATAAAGCATCAAACACAATGTCTTCTATTATGTTTGCAGACAACACCACTTCAT